GTCACATGTGAACAGCTGCTTCATCAGCAGAAAAGGAAAGGATTTTTGCATCGTATTATGACCAATGATGAAAAGCAAGGACATTGGATGACGTATGAGTTGACAGAGAGAGATGTCAAATGGCATCTTGTCACATGTGAACACCTGCTTCATCAGCAGAAAAGGAAAGGATTTTTGCATCGTATTTTGACCAATGATGAAAACCAACGACATTGGGTGCCGTATGAAATGAAGCTGAGAGATGTCAAATGGCATCTTGTCACATGTGAACAGCTGCTTCATCAGCAGAAAAGGAAAGGATTGTTGCATCGTATTTTGACCAATGAAGAAAAGCAACGACATTGGGTGCCGTATGAAATGAAGCTGAGAGATGTCAAATGGCATCTTGTCACATGTGAACAGCTGCTTCATCAGCAGAAAAGGAAAGGAATTTTGCATCGTATTATGACCATTGATGAAAATCAAGGACATTGGATGACGTATGAGTTGACACAGAGAGATGTCAAATGGCATCTTGTCACATGTGAACACCTGCTTCATCAGCAGAAAAGGAAAGGATTTTTGCATCGTATTTTGACCAATGATGAAAACCAACGACATTGGGTGCCGTATGAAATGAAGCTGAGAGATGTCAAATGGCATCTTGTCACATGTGAACAGCTGCTTCATCAGCAGAAAAGGAAAGGATTGTTGCATCGTATTTTGACCAATGAAGAAAAGCAACGACATTGGGTGCCGTATGAAATGAAGCTGAGAGATGTCAAATGGCATCTTGTCACATGTGAACACCTGCTTCATCAGCAGAAAAGGAAAGGATTTTTGCATCGTATTATGACCAATGATGAAAAGCAAGGACATTGGGTGCCGTATGAGTTGAAGCTGAGAGATGTCAAATGGCATCTTGTCACATGGGAACAGCTGCTTCATCAGCAGAAAAGGAAAGGATTTTTGCATCGTATTTTCACCAATGATGAAAAGCAACGACATTGGGTGCCGTAAGAAATGAAGCTGAGAGATGTCAAATGGCATCTTGTCACATGTGAACACCTGCTTCATCAGCAGAAAAGGAAAGGATTTTGCATCGTATTTTGACTAATGATGAAAAGCAACGACATTGGGTGCCGTAAGAAATGAAGCTGAGAGATGTCAAATGGCATCTTGTCACATGTGAGCAGCTGCTTCATCAGCAGAAAAGGAAAGGATTTTTGCATCGTATTATGACCAATGATGAAAAGCACGGCCATTGGGTGCCGTATGAGTTGAAGCTGAGAGATGTCAAATGGCATCTTGTCACATGTGAACAGCTGCTTCATCAGAAGAAAAGGAAAGGATTTTTACATCGTATTATGACCAATGATGAAAAGCAAGGACATTGGATGACGTATGAGTTGAAGCTGAGAGACATCAAATGGTATCTTGTCACATGTGTACAGCTGCTTCATCAGCAGAAATGGAAAGGATTTTTGCATCGTATTATGACCAATGATGAAAAGCAAGTACATTGGGTGCCGTATGAGTTGACGCTGAGAGACGTCAAATGGTATCTTGTCACATGTGAACAGCTGCTTCATCAGCAGAAAAGGAAAGGATTTTTGCATCGTATTATGACCAATGATGAAAAGCAAGGATATTGGGTGACGTATGAGTTGAAGCTGAGAGATGTCAAATGGCATCTTGTCACAAGTGAACAGCTGCTTCATCAGCAGAAAAGGAAAGGATTTTGCATCGTATTTTGACCAATGATGAATAGCAACGACATTTGGTGCCATATGAAATGAAGCTGAGAGATGTCAAATGGCATCTTGTCACAAGTGAACAGCTGCTTCATCAGCAGAAATGGAAAGGATTTTTGCATCGTATTTTGACCAATGATGAAAAGCGAGGACATTGGGTGCCGTATGAGTTGAAGCTGAGAGATGTCAAATGGCATCTTGTCACATGTAAACAGCTGCTTAATCAGCAGAAAAGGAAAGGATTTTTGCATTGTATTATGACCAATGATGAAAAGCAAGGACAGTGGGTGCCATATGAGTTAAAGCTGAGAGACGTCAAATGGCATCTTGTCACATGTGAACAGCTGCTTCATCAGCAGAAAGGAAAGGATTTTGCATCGTATTATGTCCAATGAGGAAAAGCAAGGACATTGGGTGCCGTATGAGTTGAAGCTGAGAGACTTCAAATGGCATCTTGTCACATGTGAACAACTGCTTCATCAGCAGAAAAGGAAAGGATTTTTGCATCGTCTTATGTCCAATGATGAAAAGCAAGGACATTGGGTGCCGTATGAGTTGACGCTGAGAGATGTCAAATGGCATCTTGTCACAAGTGAACAGCTGCTTCATCAGCAGAAAAGGAAAGGTTTTTTGCATCGTATTATGACCAATGATGAAAAGGAAGGACATTGTGCGCCGTATGAGTTGAAGCTGAGAGATGTCAAATGGCATCTTGTCACATGTGAACAGCTGCTTCATCAGCAGAAAAGGAAAGGATTTTTGCATCGTATTATGACCAATGATGAAAAGGAAGGACATTGGGTGCCGTATGAGTTGAAGCTGAGAGATGTCAAATGGCATCTTGTTACATGTGAACAGCTGCTTCATCAGCAGAAAAAGAAAGGATTTTTGCATCGTATTTTGACCAATGACGAAAAGCAAGGACATTGGGTGCCGTATGATTTGAAGCTGAGAGACGTCAAATGGCATCTTGACACATGTGAACCGCTGCTTCATCAGCAGAAAAGGAAAGGATTTTTGCATCGTATTATGACCAATGATGAAAAGCAAGGACATTAGATGCCGTATGAGTTGAAGCTGAGTGATGTCAAATGGCATCTTTTCACATGTAAACAGCTGCTCCATCAGCAGAAAAGGAAAGTTTTTGCATCGTATTGTGACTTGCGATGAAAAGTGGATACGCTACGATAACCTTAAGCGTTGATGATCGTGGAGTAAGCCCGGCCATGCATCAAAATCGGCGGCAAAATCCATGGTCCAAAGGGCTGCATATGGTGGGATCAGCTGGGTGTCGTTTATTGTGAGCTGCACAAATCGACCGAAGCCCTCACTAGGGACCCCCACTATCGACTACAATTGATGCAGTTTGAGCCGAGCAATGAAGGAGTAACCGCCGCTATACGAACAGAGAAACGATAAAGTGATTTTGCAATATGACAACGCTAGGCCACATGTTGCAAAACGGGTGAAAACCTACTTGGAAACGCCTAAATGAGAAGTCCTACCCAACCCGCAGTATTCACCAGCCATTGCCCCGAAGGATTATCACTTGTTCCGATCAATGGCACATGGCCTGGCTGAGCAGCACTTGCATTCTTATGTAGATGCCAAAAATTGGGGTGATTCGTGGTTAGCCTCAAAACGCGTCGTCCTTCCAAAGTGGAATTCAAATGCTATCAGAAAGATGGGAAAAATAGTGGCTAGTGATGGGCAATACTTTCAGTGAAATGTTTCTTATTAATTTTTGTAAATAGAACATGAATAATCAGCAAGAACTTTTTCAAGGTCCAAAGAAATCTAAAAACAAATATATAGATATATAAATAAATATATATATATATATATATATATATATATATATATGTGTGTGTGTGAGTGTGTGTGTGTGTGTACGTATAATGTGTACATATATAATATATATATATATAATATTATATATCATATATAATATAATAATATATTATATATAATATAATAACAATATACATATAATGTATATATATATATATATATATATATATATTTTAACATACAATGTGTGTTAGCACGTGCGATACCCTGTCTTCATCAGCCGCCGACCAGGGTGATATCACGGTTTCGGTGGCTATGGCGCGACCGCCACCTGGCGCCACCAGCAGCGTTTGCCACCAGGCAGGGTATGAAGATAAGCTAACTAATTGTTCCTTTAAGTAAAATCTATCTGCAATGAAAGTTTCTTGAACGCGTTCGCTGTTATTGACGCGCTCGTAAAAATCGTTATAGACGTCCACGCAAATATCTCACTTGCGCATGTCAGGTCGTGATGTTGCGCGCATTTTATTTGCTTGTTTGGATCTCGACCAAATCCAACTTCACATGAAGAGATATACTTAAATATTTGAAGAAATATGAGGGTGTACTCACTTTTGTTGCCAGGGATTTAGCTTTTAATGGCTATATTTTGAGTTATTTTGAGGGGAAAAGACATTAACTATGTTATATATGCTGCAGACAGGCTACTTTTCATTGTGTCAAAAGGTCATTTTTTTAGTGCTGTCCCATGAAGAGATATACTTTAATATATATATATATATATATATATATATATATATATATATATTTTTTTCCGATTTCTTTTTTAATTTGTAGGTCTGATTAATTGGATCGTGATTACGATTCCAATGTAATAAATTATAACCATGAAATATTAGTGTTTGAGCCTTTTATATCACACACACACACACACACACACACACACACACACACACACACACACACACACACATATATATATATATATATATATTCAAACAAAAAGACATTCGTTGATGTTATATTTAACAATATAATATCAACGAATGTCTTTTATGCCTGATCATCAGCCGTTCCAAGCTTTAGTTTAGGGAAAAAATAAAGACAAAAAGTGTTCATCATTTGGATATTTTTATTATGATGTTCCTCGATGTAAGCTTTTAGTCTACATTATTTTTGGAAAATATAATCGATTTTTGGAAACTATGAAAGCTTGAGAATGGAACGGAGCTACGGATTTTAAATTTAAGTTTATAATTAAGTTTAAAATTTTAGCTTCTGCTTCGAAACATGGTAATTCCTGTGTAGCGATGTAACCATATTTTTAAAATAGAATATAATTATATTAAGCTCTACTGTTTTAGATCGAGCACTGTTTTTTAAAAATAAAAATAATTCCTAAGAACACCGGATTGTAAATGTTACTGTCCTTTCTTATTATTTGAAGATATTAAGAAGATATAAATATACCTAGAGTCAGAGTTTGTCCATGTGTGTGAATGTGAGGAAGAAATATAGTGTTTTTGTGTGTTTGTTTGTGATAGAAAAATATGTAGAGATGAAGATAGATAGATAGATAGATAGATATGAACAGATATATATATATATAGATAGATAAATAGATAGATAGATATGAAAAGAGATAGATATGAACAGAGATACATAGATAGATAATGAACTGAAATAAATAGATAGATAGACAAATAGATAGATAGATAGATAGATAGATATGAACAGAAATAGGCAAATAGATAGATAATGAACTGATTGAGATAGATAGACAGACAGATAGATAGATAGATAGATAGATAGATAGATAGATAGATAGATATGAACAGAAATAGGCAAATAGATAATGAACTGATTGAGATAGATAGATAGATAGATAGGCAGATAGATAGATAGATAGATAGATAGATAGATAGATAGATAGATAGATAGATAGATAGATATGAAGAAACTGAGGTAGAAACAGACAAATGTATATTAACATAGACAGATAACATGTAAACAGAGATAGATAGATATGAAAAGACTGAGAAGATAGAATATGAACAGAGTAAGATAGAAAATGACTGCATATCTATTAGAGAGAGAGACAGACAGACAGATATATAGATAGATAAATAGATATGAAGAGACTGAGATAGATAGTCAAAAGACAACATTGACATTTATAGTTAGATAAACCAATGTGGACATAGTGATATAGAGAGATATGCAGTAAAAGAAACTGACAGATATTAACAATGTTATATATATATATATATATATATATATATATATATATATATATGAAGAAAGAAAGAACAGTAAGATAATCCGGTGTTCTGATAGATAGATAGATAGATAGATAGTAAAAGAAACTGATACATATTAACGGGCTTAGATTGATAGATAGATAGTGTAAAGAATCTGATATATATTAACGGGCTTAGATAGATAGATAGATAGTAAAAGAAACTGATACATATTAACGGGCTTAGATAGATAGATAGATAGATAGATAGATAGTAAAAGAAACTGATACATATTAACGGGCTTAGATAGATAGATAGATAGATAGATAGATAGATAGTAAAAGAAACTGATACATATTAACGGGCTTAGATAGATAGATAGATAGATAGATAGATAGATAGATAGTAAAAGAAACTGATATGTATTAACGGTCTTAGATAGATAGATAGATAGATAGATAGATAGATAGATAGTAAAAGAAACTGATACATATTAACGGGCTTAGATAGATAGATAGATAGATAGATAGATAGATAAAGAACGAGAAAGAGAGAGAGAGAGAAAGAGAGGGAGAGGGGCATAGAAAAGAGATGTTCTGATAAGAAAACGGTCAAGAGAAACATCCATTGAAAAAAAAATAATAATATGCGTGGTTGGTCGCATCTAATGGCTGCCTCTTGCTGCCCTGTTGTCGTCGGTTTCGGAGAGGGCGATTCACTTCGGCCCTCTATTTACATTTTAAGAGGACATCACTTGTTTCATTGGTCCGGGCCTCGGGACTCTAGACATTGGCGATGAAAGCGAAGGTCGCCCTCGTCCCCAGCCTGTGTCCAGTCGCAAAATCCTTCATCTTTATTCCATGCATTCAGACGAAAAGCTAATATCCCGCACAGATAGTTTACAGCTGAAAAGCGACACAACAGCACTGTCCAATCAAATGCTTTCTTATCTTCACCCTCTCACCCGTCGGCTCGGCGCAGCTGGTCTGGGGTCGAGACGTGTTTGAGGATCTGACGATAGAAACGAAGAAAAGCGGGCGTGATTTCGAAATTCCCCGGGGAAAGAGCAAATTAACTTACATTTTTATTGATTTGTTTTGTCTTTACTATTATTCACACCATCCAAGGCTCGAGAGCCACTCAAAGTAGAATTATTAAATTAGGCTGTTTTAAGGGAGGTGAAGTTCAAATCGTGCATGTTACAGGGTGTTTGTTTTTAAAAAAAAGATATAATTTTTGATGTACATATCTGTCTACGTTCATAGTCGAGGCAAATGATTGCCTTTCCATGCATTTTCAGAGAGAGAGAGAGAGAGAGAGAGAGAGAGAGAGAGAGAGAGAGAGATCGTAATATCGTGATAAACATTTTTAACAATGCCTGTACGCGCAAACCTCGGTCACGATGACTTGCGACTTCGTGCACGCACAACCAACTTTGAACAATTATGTCTACCCAATTAAACCGACCAGCGATATAAAAACAAGAAGTCACCTTCCTAAAAAACTGACCACGATGAGAATCCAAAGGCGGTCTTGCGGTCTGAAACCAAACTTTCAGCCGCGGGTACATTAGATTATATACAGCATGTTTAAATATATATCATTTGATATATATATATATATATATATATATATATATATATATATATATATATATATATATATGTATGTGTGTGTGTGTGTGTGTGTGTGTGTGTGTGTGAAAAGTGTATATAAATATAGACAGGCCTCCATCTTTAAACTTTCTGCGCCATGTCCAAATCTGAATTGCAGTTGGTGTATTTTAACAAATTCTCTCACAAATGCACGTTTTGCAGTCTTGTTCCATTACATTCTCTAAGTAAAAAAAAACTCTGAAGTAATTGCTACTGTATGTCACCAATGCTTCAATTTAGGAGTGACGTACTCCTATTGTGAATGTGGTGTTTGGGTTGGAGTAGTAAAAGAAAAATCTTAACAACTATCTGACTCTAAATTTTAGAAGAAGAATCATTCAGGTTAATTCTGAAGTACATAGATTTCATCAATGGTTTTAAAAATGTTCGATATACGCACCACCTGTGACACGACCATCTCTTCTGATACTGCTGGTTGTCAGAACTTTATGCTCTGTACTGACAAGCCTTGCTCGTTTGATGTTTAGTGCCATGTCCAATTCGGCATTGCTGTTGGTGCATTTTTAGCGAATTCTCTCACAATTGCAAGCTGCACAGTCTTTTTCTTGACTGTGTTCAAGCATAATCCAACACACAAACCACCTTTTCTTTCCCAGTGAATGATAAATTTATACCTGAAAAAAAAAATTAATCATAGAATTTTGTGTTGTTTCTAAACGCGCTGTTAATATTTACGATCATTTGAACGAGAATTGGTCAAATTATTAGATTACAAAATGATATCTAGTTTTTTGAATCAACCTGTATACGTCTGACCTCAAATATATTATTTATATCATATTATTTGTATTAGATAAATACATTGCACTTTAAATAGGTTTTCTTCACCGCAAATGCAAGCGTTATGCTTGTTGACTTTGCCATTCGTATGAAATGTGGCCCTCACGAAGGAAAAACAAAACGTTTTTCAAACTCGTCTTCTTCACGTCTCTCTTGCACGGAACCACGCATAATATTTTTTTTTCAATAGATGTTTCTGTAGACTGTTTTCTTAGAACATCTCTTTTATATGCCCCTCTCTCTCTTGTTCTTTATCTCTCTCTCTCTCTATCTCTCTCTCTATCTATCTATGCCTGTTAATATCAATCAGTTTCTTTTACTCTCTATCTCACCCTCTACATATCTATCTATCTATCTATCTATCTATCTATCTATCTATATACATACATATATATATATATATATATATATATATGTTCGTTTATCTCTGTCAGTTTCTTTTATTGTATATCCCTCTATCTCACTTTGTTCACATTGGTTTATCTACCTATATATGTCAATGTTGTCTTTTTTCTCTCTGTCTCTTCATATCTATCTATCTATCTATCTATCTATCTATCTATCTATCTATCTATCTAAGCCTGTTAATATCTATCAATTTCTTTTACTCTTTATCTCACTCTCTACATTATCTATCTATCTATCTATCTATCTATCTATCTATCTATCTATCTAAGCCTGTTAATATCTATCAATTTCTTTTACTCTTTATCTCACTCTCTACATTATCTATCTATCTATCTATCCATCTATCTATCTATCTATCTATCTATCTATCTAAGCCTGTTAATATCTATCAATTTCTTTTACTCTTTATCTCACTCTCTACATTATCTATCTATCTATCTATCTATCTATCTATCTATCTATCTATCTATCTAAGCCTGTTAATATCTATCAATTTCTTTTACTCTTTATCTCACTCTCTACATTATCTATCTATCTATCTATCTATCTATCTATCTATCTATCTATCTATCTATCTATCTATATATATATATATATATAGATATATATATATATATTTGGAGATTCATTGTGGATTTCACATGACTCACTTCCAGCAGTCGATTTTTTTTTTTACGCGCCACAGAATTGCTTGTGCTTTTGCTGGTCACTTGTCTTTAAGGCCTGAACGGGATGCAGCTTTTCCAGTGTGTCATTTGCATGTGTTTTCTTGTGACAAGCCAAACTCTGTCGGAGGAATCTGTGTTTCCAGACTTGTTCTTCAAATAGACTTCCTGGCGCTTCGCAAAAATATTTTCCAAACACACTTGACCATCTCATCCGATACTGCTGGTCATCCAGATCCTTTTGCCCTTTTGCCCAGACAGCCTTCTTTTTTTTTTTTGGGGGGGGGTTCCATGTCCAAACCTCCATTGCAGTTGGAGCATTTTTAGAGAATTCTCTCACAAATGCAAACTACACAGTCTTTCTCGACTGTGTTCGAGCATAATCTAATACACAAAACGCCTTTTCTTTTCTAGTGAATCACATTTCGATATCTGAAAAAAAAAGAAAGAGAAAAACATTAATCATAGAATTTTGAGTTGTTTCCACTAAATTTGATACGATTTGAAGTGTTAATATTTGGGTAACTACATAGTCTTGGCAAATGAAAATAAACAGGTTTATTGTGAATCAAAATAAGATTTATTCACCAAATTTGTATGAGAAATTCAAAGGTATGTAGATTTCATTCTCAATGTAACAAGTTAGCAATATGCGCACCATCTGTGACACGACCATCTCTTCTGATTGCGCTAGTCATCCAGATGTTTTTGTCCTACACAGACAAGCCTCCCTCTTTGAACTTTTTGTGCCATGTCCCAATAAGCATTGCAGACGATGCATTTTAGCGAATTCTATCACAAATGTACGTCACAAGGTCTTGTTCCCCTGTGTTCACGCATAATCTAGCACACAAGACGCTAAAGTAATCGTTAGTGTATGTCACCACTATTGAAAATTAGGGTTGTTACTACTATTGTGAGTGTGGGGTTTTGGTTGCAGTAGTAAAAGAAACCCGTCCTGGGTAAGACCATTAACTACACCCGCGTCCTGTGTAAAACGATAAACAACATCCAAGTCCTGAGTAAAATGATAAACTACATCCACATCCTGGGTAAGATGATGAACTACACCCGCGTCTTGGGTATGACGATAAACTACATCCGCGTCCTGGGTAGGACGATAAACAACATCCGCGTCCCGGGTATGACGATAAACTACATCCGCGTCCTGGGTAGGACGATAAACAACATCCGCGTCCCGGGTATGACGATAAACTACATCCGCGTCCTGCGTAAGACGGTGAACTACATCCGCGTCCTGGGTAAGACGATAACCTACACCCGCGTCCTGGGTAAAACGATAAACTACATTCACGTCCTGGGTAAGACGATAAGCTACATCCGAGTTCTGAGTAAGACGATAAACTACATCCGAGTCCTGGTTATAACGATAAACTGCATCCGCGTCCTGGGTAAGACGGTGAACTACATCCGCGTTTTGGGAATGACGATAATCTACATCCGACATAAAGACCTCTGATCAGGAGGTTTTGAAGAGCATGGAACCATCTCCTAAATGCTGATGTTCCTAGGTCCACCTTGACTCGGGGTGATAGCACCTGTCAGGGTCCGAGCTATGGTCAAATATTTAACCCCCCAAAATGGGATGAAAACTCGATGAAAGTATAAAAACAGATTTAATACCAGCGATACATTTACTGAAGGAAAAATTATTACCAGCAGTAAATTTTTGAAAAAGAAAAATATTACCAGCAATACATTTTGGGGGAAAATTATTCCCTGCAATAAAAATCTTGTCAGCATTAAAAAACACATTGAGGTTTATATGTCGTAAAACAAGTCAAACCAAACCTAAAGTGTTGGTTCGTGAATTTGGTGACATATTGATTGTGAGTTCAATCCTTGGGCCAGGCAGTATGTACTTGAACTCCCTGGAAAGTTGAAGTAGATGAGGTATCCCTAGATATGGGCTGTGATACAAGAAAAGTCTACACTCATTGGTTGCTGTAGCACACCTACGGACGATAATGGGTATGACCCCATTCACATAAATAGGGTAGTAAATACTGTTGGTCGAACTCTGTGTCTCCGG